TGATTATGGGGTACATGGTACATCTACTCATTCACAAAAAAAAATTGTAGTGTAAAAAAATGACAACCTTGCTGGCCTGGCAGTTCTTAAATATCTAAGGGGTGGGGTCACCCAGTGACATCAACTGGGTGACCCCACCCCCCTGTGACATCATGATGCAAATGAACTGACAGAGCACAGTGCATTGGGGTGCGCAACGGGCGAAGAGCACGCTGAACACCCTTGTTTGTGTGTTGACCAAACACACAAATGGGCGATGTTCGAGTCGAAAGTGAGTTCAACATGAAATGTCTAATGTATCAGTTTGGTATTAAAAACAACAGAAACTATTTGCCCACAACCCCTGTTTATGCTTAAACATACAGAGGACGCCTGATAGTGATTGGTAGCTGAGATGTTACTTTGTTTCAATAATAAGAATATGTTATCATAAAAGGCCAAAAGTGCTTGGTTGCCTTTATTCTTCAATACAATTCAATTCAACATAAATACGCAACAAATATATGGAAAATGCATGTAAATGTTTAGCAAGTGTATACACCTCAAATGTTTATGTACACCTCAAATGTTTATGTACACAAAGCTGGTCATAGGCTTCTGCATAATGTATGAGTTAACTAAGCTGTTCTTGTCACCCAACACTGTGCTAGACAAAAAAATTTATTTAGATAAATATTCCTGATCTTCTAAATGCAAAGTGTAGATAATTTTCTAATTTTAATATCTGTCCTTTCAACTGTTCCTATCAGACAGTGGCAGCCAAAGAGGTTTTGATAGCGTGGAGAGGGATTAGAACATCTATCAGGTTTTCATTGAAGTCTGAAGGGATGTCTTCCAATGGGAACACTAGTTCTGGTGACCCTAATGACTACCAAGGATTCCTTCACTTTGAAAGGATTTTTTTTTCACTTTTTGTTTTGGCATTGGGACAGGAAGTGAGGGAACATTTACACAATGGGACCCAGATGGCAAAAATATAGCTGAGAGGGTTATAAATCTAATCTTACTCTATCCAACATGAAAATAAAAGTTTTGCCTTTAGTTGTACTTTAACATTGGGATGACTCTTTCTGCACTATAGCATCCCCCCTGACCTTTGTACCAGGATCAACTATAACGTTTTGTAAAAACTGAATCCCCATTGCTTAACTAATGTTTAAGTTTGTGTCCTTCTTCAGGAAGCTATTCTTCCTGAAAGTAACCCTTGTATATCACATTGCTGTGAAATGTGCTGTTGAGTCAGTACAATTTTATTCGTGTAGTGTAATGGGGGTTGTGAAAATAGCATAGCAACACCATGGTATAATGCAGTAAACAAATAATTCACATATATTCAGTGTAACGCCTGATACATAGAAACATATATTTTTTGTTGTTCAGCCCACCAGGCTGAATGAAAAAAAAAAATCTTAGGAGCTTGCTATACTATGTGATGTTAGTACAGCAATCTCCCCACTTAGCTATTGTGTACTGACAGAGGGACTGCCCTCATGCCAGAACACAGCAGTCACATTTTCAGTCCTATCTCAGTGAGGCCTGTGTAAACTATAGTAAGATGGGATACAACATGGAGTTGAGTTGTAACAATATGGAGTCACAGGAAAGCTATCTCGGTGTGAACTATATTGTAAACTATAAGTGAACTATGTTCTACATCTTGCTGTATTTCTTATTATTTTAGACCTGTCTAAACAATGTAGGAATGAAAGGATGCCTCTAATGTTAAGCTCATGATGGTGACCATTGTTCTAGGTGTGTTGGATGTGTGGGAAAGTAGTTAGAAGCAGGTGTATAAGGAAAGGACCCGTGGCCTTATACCTTTGGTTATGTTTTTACTTTTATGGATTTTCTTGGTTTCAAAGAATCAATTGAATAGAGAAGAGTACGGAACTCATCCACATTTCTCAGGACAGACATACAAAATTTACTATCACATGGCACTGTTGAGCCCACTTTAAGATTACCTCGGCTTACAGCAGTTGCTGAATCATTAGTAGAGCACTATATCTGGGTAGAGATGACAGTCTAGTTGCACCCAAGCTATCAGAGGACTTGGGCACTTGCTTACCCCTGGGGGTGGGGGGTTGGATCAAGAGAGACGGTTCTATCCCATTTCCCCTTTCTTCCTTCTCTTTTCCCTAACTACTTTCCCCCTCCCCCTGTCCCCCTTTTTTATTTTTATTCTTGAGACCCTGTACCACCCTTTTTAGGATGCACAGAAACTCTGTTATTCCAACAATTTTTTTTATATAAGTTTAATGTTTGTTTTATTTATATGTTGTTTTGTTAATTTATTTAACAGATGAGGTTTTCCACCCTCTCAGTTCTTCTTTATGATCACTGGTGGAAATATGTAAAGCACATTATATTTATTTATTCTGTAATACTACTAGTTGATGGAATTACCCCTCCTATGTCAACATTTTCACTGTTGGCCATGAAAAAGCTATACTGTATCATTTATATACTTCAATAAAAAACTTTATGGGAAAAAACTGTTTATTCTTGGACCTTCTTACTCTGCCTTTGATGCTTTGAGATCCAGTGTACATTGCTATTGCTGAATAAACCATACATAGACAGAAGGTTTACCTGTATGGATGTCCTTTTTTTGCAAGGCTAACCTCTACACTTACAACTATGTCTTGCACTGCAAGTAGCCTAGTTCAATATTGGATGAGGCCTATGGTTCCATTTGCAATCCCACTTAGTACAGTTCTGACTCCTCTTTTATAGTGTTAAAAAACAACAAATTATCAGTTTTGATTACACTGACACTTTGGAGACATTCCATAAGTCTAACATTACACCTTTACTGACTGCTAAAACATCCATGTGTTTTGCTAAACAGTTTCTCTGAGAATTCCATTCCATGAGGGTGAAATTAAAGTATGTTTTTATTAATTGAGACAGTGAGGAAAAGCTAAACTTTCTGACCCAAATGAGATGTTTCCTTACTTTCTGTCAATTGTCTGAAGTTTAACATGTTCCTACTCTACCAAAAATATATTTTTTTTGGCAGTGTCCCTATTGGGGCGATTTCCCATTGTTTTATGTCTTAACAGGAATTAAGAGGAGATATCCCCAATAAAGACTCGGCGAGCATCAAAATGTGGATCTAACCTCCTCTCTGCTCTAACTACATAATAAAAAATTCTGGCTGGAGCTGTGCTTGAAGCTTTAATAAAAATGCTAAGACAATTCTTTGGAATAGTTATTTTCACTGTAAGCAAATATATATTTTTTGTGTGTACAAACAATATTCATATAGAAAAAAAGGAAAAATACCATGTTAGGACCCATGTGACCTATATTTTTTGACAATCTAGACCCTTGCTGTACACAAATAGCTGTTGTCATAACAATGCCATTTTACTTAATTAAATTGTTTGCTTCCCAGCTAATCTTTTAATGATACAATTTTCTATCATTTTCAGTCAAATCTCAGCCTTAGGACATTCACTTAATGAATCTATATATTGTAAAAAAAGGAAATAACTATATAGTGTTTCATGCTCTGGATTTTTTTTTTTTTCACTAATACCATAATTAAACACAGAGGAAAAACATCAATGCAGTTATATGACCAACAAAAGCATTCACTTAATGTCAAATTGAGCACTGTATTGGATTTGGCTGTACTGTGTGTTATTTTTTTTTATCCTTCGTGCATAATAAGATACTTTAATTGATATTTAATCAGTAGGCAGTCTTGTGAAAAATGAAATAGCTAAAAAATATGCACCTTTAGATATTCAAGGTCATTTTCAACAAGTTCCAACAAATACCAGGCAAACAGCAGGATGCACAGTAAGGTTATTTACACAAATGAGTGTTGAGAAAAACAAGGGCCATCATACCTCTTGCAGTTTCTTTAGTGTAATGATGTAATAGATTTTATCAATTTAATAGTACACAAAACCCTTGGAGGATAGCTTTCAGTATCCACCAACCTGGTAAGACAAAGACATTCAATAACACATTGTTATGGTCATTTACTTGCATCTAATCAGTTCAACCACAATTGCATTACTATGTTACTCCCTAGCAATTGTCATTTATGACTGTGAGCTACATGTAAGCAAAGCTTCAGGAAAACAAAAAGGGGTACTTACAGTAAACTACAGCATTGTGAGCCTGCAATTGTAAACACGTAAACAAAAATATAAAATAAAACAAAAATAAAATGGGATAAAATCAAAATATAGTGATTCAAGATGGCTATTGTAAGTCTGTTGGTCATCTCATAAGATAGCATTTAATTTTTTTGCAAGTATTTTTTATTTACATAATAGTTATTATATAATAGTAACATTTTATAGTATATTCAGTATATATTATAATATAGTATTAAATATGCACTTCAGTTAAAAATTAATATTAAACTTTGAGATTCATACCAGGAGCACCACATATCTGCTGAATAATTCATTTTTTATCCAGGAATAGCTATGGCTAGTCTATTTCACTTCATTTTGGTCTGATGCAAGAACACCCTTCATAGACCTTTCAGATGAAGCACAAAGTATTCTAAGCCACCAAGCCTAGTAGCTCTGTAGTCATTAATCAGTCATTAACCACTTGCCCTCCACAGGATTTACCCCACTTCCTGACCAGGCCATTTTTTGCGATATGGGCTGCGTTACTTTGACAATTGCACGGTGATGCAATACTGCACCCAAATGAAATGTATGTCCTTTTTTCCCACAAATAGGTGGTATTTGATTTTAATTTTTGCGCTATAAACAAAAAAAAAGACCGACAATTTTGAAAACAAAAACAATATTTTTTTACTTGTTGCTATAAAACATGTCCAGTAAAAAAAAATTTAAAAATCAAATTTCCTCATAAATTTAGGCCAAACTGTATTCTGCTACTTATCTTTGCCAAATAAAAATCCCAATATGTGTAAATTATTTGGTTTACGTGAAAGTTATAGTGTTTAAAAATGGCGATATATATACTGTAATTTATTATTTTTTACTAGTAATGGCAGTGATCAGTGACTTATAGCAGGACTGTAGGGACTGCATTCTGACACTGGGGGGGAACTGACTTGGTGTCACTGAAATCCCCAGTGACACCAATACAGTGATCAGTGCTAATAAAAAGTACTGACACTGTACTAATGACACTGGGCAGGAAGGGGTCAACATCTGGGATGATCAAAGGGTTAACTGTGTGCTGTTTTACAGTGTGCTGTGTGTGTGTAATTTACACTGTATGCACACTGCTTGTATGGCTCTGCTATCATATAATAAAAAAACAGTGCAGCGCTATAATTCAAAAAACCAAAATACAAAAGTGTACAGGAAAATTATTATGCATAAAATAGTATGCATAACAAAAATTAAAATAATAATAATGAAATAAAAAGAAAAGAATGTCCAGACAAATTTCTTCTTTATGGTATGCCCCTCTTACTGTGATCACCAAGTGCTTCAAACACAATAGTGCATAATTCCAACACCAGATGTGTCTGCTCACCTCCAGCAGTGTGACCTCACATAGTAATATGTTTGGTCTAACTGCACTTTTGGCCCCACAATGGACACTGAAGATCAACTTGATGGATTTCAGCTATTATGATGGATTTCAGCTGTTATCACAGCATTCAGAGTACACTTCTTACCACCATTTTAACTTTAAGAAGTGGAGTCTGCCCAATTAATGCACCTGGCAATTGGAAGCAGAGTGACCAAATGCTGTGTAAGTTCAGGGGGTTGGAAATAGTCAGAGGAGCTGAGCTGAGCCTGGCTTCCTATGGACAATGCAGAGCCATACAAAGCAGTGTGCAGGAGCTGACAGAGGAGAAATCTGTGTTGTTTATACACAGGTCTCTCCACCATCGGTAAAACTTGGGGAATCACCAGCCGGGACCTGGTGATTGACAGCCAGGTCTCGAATGGCGATACGGGTAGGGCACGCTCCCGTCCTCTACCTGTAACTGCAAAATCACATATAAATACGTGATTTTGCGCACCCGTGCCACACTGTAGCAGTATTTCTGTACTGCCCTGTAGCAGGGCGTTGAGGAAGCGGTTACATGTATTTTTTTCAATGCAACTGGTATAAGTGTTAATCTGCTATTGCCTCTCAAAATCCCTTATACAGCATCACTCACAGTAGAAGAAGGCAGGACAGGTAGGCAATCAAATGTGCAAAAGGCAAATTTGCTGACAAGGATCAGTAGGTTTTTAATCCTTTTCTGTTCAGCTGTTTGAAGACAGAAGTCACCCCTAACTGTAAACTGTAATGAGGCTACACCCCTATCACAGCCTTATGACTATGCTGTGTGTGGCGGGGCTATGAAATCTAAGAACAGGAATCCTTTAACAAGTAGGTCTCCAATCTTTTGACATTCCGGCCACATTGGAAGAAGAGGCATAGTCTTGGGCAGTACATAAAATGCACTAACGAGAAGGATAGCCAAAAAGTTGGGCAAGTTACCAATCGCTGATATAGATAATGTACCCATCTGAGTAAACGTGAGTTTTAGCAGAATTAGGGCATAAAAATGTGCTCGGAACGTCCATCTAAGACACAACAATATATGAACACAGTCTTCCCAACATAATACTAGCACAAACATTAGATGTCTGCAATGGTTGTTTAATTGCACATAAACCTTGTAAACACTTCACAGTGCAGGGAGGAAATAGTATGAGAGCGCCCTAGCTTGTGTTGTTTGACAGCTGTCCTGCCCTTAAAAAACCACACAACTGTTTTGGGTTTGTTTATTTTTTTCATTATGGTGTCAGAAGCACTGTCTGATGTTGAACCATGCCTCGCAGAAAAGAGCTCACAGAAGGACCGGCGATCTAAGAATTGATTTGAACTTGCATGAAGCCTGGAAAGGGTTTACAAAAGTAACTCCATAAGCCTTGATGTTCATGGTGTCAATAGTAAGACAGGACTTGTCTACAAATGGAAGAAATTTTAGCTGCAAGAGACAGGCGAATGCTGCATAGGTAAAGAAAAAACCCCCGGTGTCAGCTAAAGACCTACAAAAATCTCTGGACTGCTAACATTTTTGTTGACACATTTCAATAAGGAAAAATTAAACAAGAATGGAGTAAATGGGGGGACACCACGGAGGAAGCCATTGCTGCCCAAAAAGAATTTGAGCACTTTTGAATTTTGCAAAAAGAGCCCTGGATGTTCCCACCCTATGGAAAAAATATACTGTGGACAGATGAACCAAGTTTGAGTTGTTTGGAAGAACAACAACACTATGTGTGGAGAAAAAAGGCCACCCCGAACATAAAACCTCACCCCCACTGAAAAACTGGCAGAGGGGCATCTGGTTTGGGGTGCTTTGCTGCCTCAGGGCCCCTGGCGGATTGTTGCCCTTGAGGGGGAAAATTAATTCCCGAGTTTTAAAGACTTTTTGCAGGAAAAAGTTGACCATCGGGCCCAATGAAGCTCCGCAGAGGATGGGTGTGAAACAGGAACAATGACCCAAAGCAACAGTAATTCAAAAAACAATGGCTGAAACGCCGATACCCCTTCGGGTGGCCCTTCAGAGCCCTGCCCCAAACCGATTGAAATGCTGGGCATGCCCTTAAGAGGCGTTACACCAGACATCCCAAAAAATAGTAATGAACGTTTTTGTGAAGGGATGGTCCAAAATTCCCCAGATCGTGGCAGGCGTCTGCCACAGGAAAAGTTTGGTTGAGGTTTTGGTGCAATGGGGGAACCGTTTGTCCAAAAGGGGCACATCTTTTTCCTCCCGCACTGTGAATTTTTACATGTTATGGCAATTAAAACCCTGGCAACATCTAAAGTTTGTTTTTAGTATTTGTTGGGCAGACTGTGTTTTCTATTGGGTTTTTATTAAGGGCGTTCAAGACATTTTTTGCCCAAATTCAGCAAAACTCCCCCGTAAAACCCAAGGGGTTCACTACTTTTTTTTTGCAAAATGTATGTTGCCTAAGTGTAAATGCATTTTTACAAAAAATTCCCCCCCCAAAATATCACATATTTTAAATAAGTTTTTGATTTGGGTTGGACCCATTCATAGCCATCTTGGGATGCATGCTTTATGGGGTGCAGTTGGCCACCCCAGTTTTACACATTAGTTTCATATATGTATTTTATTTATTTATTTCAGGTACTTAATAGCGCCATCAATTTATGCAGAGCTTAATCATTTCACCTCAAGGGGTTTTACATCTAAGGGCCTAATTAATTCATCATACATGGGCCAATTTAGACAGATCCAATTTAACCTCCAGCAATCTTTGGAGTTGGGGAAACCGGAGTACCCAGCAGAAACCCCTCAGGCACAGGGGAACATGCAAACTCCCCAGGTGGTGCCCTGTTGGGATTAAACCAAAGACCCTAGTACTGCCAGGCGGAAGTGCAACCATTTAGCCATGTCTTTACCTGGGGGTTTAGTTGTTTACCGGAGTTTGCTTTCAGCCTGACCCTAATTTTATAT